CCTCGACTGGTACCTGAAAAAAGGGGGAAAAGGAGTGAGTATAAAAATATACTCAGTAAGTAACCTACTTGTAGGCTCTTTTTGCATCCTTATCTTAGTATGTATCCACGGTCTTATCTGTAACGACCTGAAAAAAAAAGAAAGTAAATTATCACTCTCTCTCTCCACCTTCCCCAAATATCTCCCCAACACCTCCAACTACGAAATGATCGACAAAAGAAAGAAACAGAACAGAAACAAAAAAATGGCACATTTTGGGAAGGAAAAAATCGGAGAAAGAAACAAAAGAAAGATAGCAGATTTTGGGAGAGAAAAATTGGAAATGGCTTCACTCGAAGCAGATTTGATAGGAAGGGAAAGAGATAGAAAATTTATGGGTAAGTTAGATCTCCTCTTCTTTTATCTTTTGCAGGAGATAGAAAAGTTATTTTAGATCTCTTTTTAGATTTTTTGAATATCTTATCGAAAATCAAAATTGATTGAAAAATGGCTTTGTCAATTGCATGGATCATCATTTTTAGGAAAGAGAATAAAATCATAATTGATTGATGCATAGGCAGTTTTACGAAGGAAAATTAAAATGAATTGAAAATGACTTCTTTGATTGGATAGTCATGGAAAGAGAAGAAAACAGAATAGATTGAAAATGGCTTCTGTTAATGATAGCAGTTTTTAGGAAAGAGAAGAAAACAGAATAGATTAAAAATGGCTGTTAATGATAACCATTTTTAGGAAAGAGAAGAAAATAGAATGGATTGAAAATGGATTTCTGTTGATTGGATAGTCATATTAGGAAAGAGAGGAGAACAAAATTGCTTGAAATTTATTTTATAGTTGCATAATCATTTGTAGGAAGAAAACAAAAATATAGAGAGAAGAGAAACAAAGTGGTACAACACAAGAGAAGAAAATGGAAGATGTGAAAAATTATTATTATTTGTATCTAGATAATATAATATAGAAGAGAAACAAAGTGGTACAAACCATAGTTGAATTGAATGATTCAAAGCAGCATGAAATAATATTGACATATTTTCAATTTGAGTTTTAGAAAATTTAGAAACAATGAAAACTTGGAATTCGATTTTTACTGAGACCGTTTTAGAGCCGTATTTCACATTGTTAGTCGGATTATTAATTAAAATGTGAAATACTAACAAAAGGTGATGAACAGTGGGATATGAAGTGAACTCCAGCAACCTTTGGAGCAGCTCTCGAGGAACGAGAGCTTACGTTAATTAAATTAGGGAATACTTCGGCTAAGGCCAACCAGGTAAGTGGCCTTACTATAGGATAGGCTAAAAATTGTATGAGTTACGATGATGTATGAACTATGTCGTACGATGCGGTATATGAGTTATGATGATGTATGAGTTATGATGATGTATGACTTATGATGATGTATGAGTTATGATGATGTGTGGGTTACGATACTTGATGATGTGCTCAGTATATATATATTTTGATGAATGTTGTACTTGATATGTTTGATGCACTTTGTGGCAATATGATGAGTATGATGATTGCGTGACGTTTACCTTAATATGATGATGTTTTCCATATTGAACATGCTATATGATGATGAGTGTCATATTGCATCATGTCGTTAGATCGACATAGGACACAACCCTAAGAGCATGAAAATGATATTAATATAAATATCCACAAGTATGTGTTATCTAGAGTAACAAAGAGATGAGACTAGAGGGTTGTGTCAGAAGAGACATTATGATGGATTTAGAGGGACCTCATGCATATTGTATGTTCATAAGCATAGGGCTACTTCCCCCAGAGATGATGAGTGCGGACGCGCACCGTATGATGAGGGCGAATGCGCAAAGGTGCGAAAGCACACAGATGAGGGTGTTCATGAGGTGCATGACACTATGGGGTTCCGCTGACCTTCGAACGTCGCTACAGATTAGCTTGACCAGAGGGTCCAGTGGGTGTGCGAGCGCCCTGGAGATTCACACTCGCACGTATGAGTCATGTGTAGGGAAGTACTATACATCCAATTTGTCCGAAACTGGAGGCCACCCCTAAGATGATTAGAGATAGGTTCGTAAATCATGATTGCATGTGTTTGCGTTTGCATGGCCCCTATAGTGGGGCCACTTACTGAGTATTCTTTGAAATACTCAGGCCGTGTGCCACATCATTTTTCAGGTAAAGGTAAGGCGCACTTGTACGGAGGACGGCGGCATCGCGAGCAGAGACTGTGGTACGTGCATAGGGTAGATTCATATTTAAATTTCTAGTCTTAAGTTAGAATAGGTTGTTTTGCATTTCATTGTTTTAAATTATTTTGTTTTTGTTTTTGTTTTCTCTAAATTTCAGTATTTCATATTTAAACACGTAAGACCATGGCTGTGTTTTCCAGAGAAGAAGTTGTTTTAAACTTTTTTTTTTTTTTTTGAAGTTTACGTTATCAATTATGTTCATATAAGAGTTATATTTCCACATTATAAATGAGCATGAGACGTTAGTAGCGACTATGAGTATGTGAAAATTTAGGGTCGTTACATTATCTCTGGGTTCTAGTGGGTGCGAATCATACTACAACTCACTTTTCTGTATCTTAGGAGGTTTGCCCATCTTATGCAGTGGAATGCTTACTGTCCTGAGGTGAGGTGCGATCTCACAAGTAAATCTGAGGGGATCGTATGGCTGGATCTGAATACAGAACTCTCTCTGAACATCATCCGTGAAGGGTACATAACAACCTTCACACGGGACCATACATCCACTAAATTCAGGGATTGTTATCCCCTGTGTGTTGGTCAGCTACTAAGTCATCCTACGTGGCTCCACGTTCCCCCGCTAAGGGACGGGATTCTACAGTCAGAAGTCCTGTTTAGAAGACCCCTTAGCAATCACCACTAGGTTAGGGCACCTGTCACACTTCCCTGTCCCTATCTGTCTGGCCCAATGATCTTAGTACCGGAGCTTTGTCTCGATGGTACGATATTGGAGCAGAGAGGAAAGTGGAGGTTCTGGTGACACTATCCACACTTCTCAACTCTAGCGGGCTACCTACAGTTACCGTGGTATCCTATAAATCTTTCTAGGGCAAACTCTTGGTGGCTTAGACCTGGATTCATTTCTCTCTAGGATTCTCATGCAAGGTCTCACAAACCTATCGTGGTTTGGAATTTTGGGTTTTGGATCTGCTAGTAATCATTCTGTGGGTCTAAACGCACGATATTCTAGAGGTATCCCACTCTAGGGTTCTGTCTAGCCTACATAGTCTCAGTGCCCTAGTCTAGGCTCGTAGTCTCTTCCAATTCAACAAGAAATAGAACCCAAGCAATCATACACTATATTTAACATGCAACAATTCATGCAATATTAACAAACATTCTCAACGGGAAGATAACATCCATCACCCAGAATGCAGATTTTGTTGGGAATAAACTTAAATGAGAGAGAAAAAATAAAGGGAAAGAAGTAGTTATGAATTTTGGTTTCTAAATTCAGTCAAAAGCCATAAGTATTGTAGGAAAGCAATGATTTATGGGTGAGAAAATTGGGGATAGTTATGACCAATTTTAGCCCTAGGAAAACTTATAAATAGGCTTTACTTCTTATTGTAATAGCAGAGCAAAAACTTATTGTAATAGCAGAGCATAAAAGGAGTAAGAATTAAAGTATAGTGTAATAGAAGAAGGCTTTTGAGAATTCTTTGTCTCCTTGTCTATCCCCTCTCAGCATCCCCTTCACAGTTTCGTGAGAGTTGTCTAAATGAGTTAGTTTCAGAGCGAGCGTCTATTTTTCTACAAGTTGGTATTAGAGCGGATTTTAATTTCAACAAATTGGTATCATAGCAAATTTTATTTCTACAAATTGGTATCAGAGCCAATGGCGAACATGATGGGACAAATGCCACTACCACAATTGATGAAGACGAACTACGAGAATTGGAGCATCCAAATGAAAGCTCTTCTCGGTTTGCAAGACACATGGGAGGTGGTTGAAGAAGGTTTCGAAGAACCGAAGGATACCACGGGTTATAACGGTAGCGCAAAACAAGGCGCTAAAGGAATTACGATCAAAGAATAAGACAGCATTATTTAACGCCAAAAAAAAAAAAAGAAAAAAAGTCATTTTGCCCCTCCAGCCATAATAGGGGTTCCAAGAAAACTCCGTCAAATCTCCTGCAAAAGAAAAAGAGAGTTAAAGAGAAAACGAAGAGGAATCAACAGTGAAGTTTAGGACCACCGTCGGAATCCACCTTCAGACAAGACTTGTACAAGGTCTGAGAGGCTAGCGAGACCGACGCACCATCAAGATCCAAGAACGTTTCCCAAGGTAAGGTTTTGAACGACATTTCTCAAATATGAGCTTTTCCTATGTGAATCGAGTCCTAAAATGTTGAGATATTCACCTACGAACAACTCTACGCGCGATCTACAAAGAAGTTTGGCTGAGATCTCAACCCGAAGATGGAGATCCGAGAACAATGAGTGAACTTCCGACGCTCTTAACTCGTCCGGTAGTCAAGTAAAAAATTATGAAAATTCTAGGACGTAGCCCGTAACACGATCTAGAACTTTGCTGAAGGAATCATATCGATCCAAACTACGAACCAAAAGATATGAAAATTGAAAAGAGGATACTGTGTTACGAATTGCAGAGGACAAAGATGAAAAAAAAAAAGTCGGCCGGCGAGCGGTGTGACAGGCACCGGACACGCGTCGACCGTCGGCTGGAGCAATGCAGCTCCAGCGAGGCGACGACATGTGTGACCTGCAAAGCCCGAGCCGAATCGGACCAGCCGACCCGCGACTACGCAGAAGCTGCCGCGCGTGCGGCCTGCGACTGGCGCACTCCCACGCGCGTGGCCAACGCACTGCCAGCGCGTGAGCGCGCGTGAAACGACTGGTTTGCCCTCTGTTTGCTTGATTTTTGTCCCAATTCCAGTTCTAATACTGTTTTTATGTTAATAGGGACCTAATTTAAGGAAATCAGTATTTTTGGACACCTTACGGGCAAAGAAGCGCTAGCGAAAGGGCACGCGTCAACCAGGTAAGTCACCACCCGGTATTTAGGAAGAAATACTTGTAGAATTCGCTTGGATTGCATGCATACTAGTAATTTTGCCTCAGATTAGCTCCCCATGAATGAGATTAGTCAGATTGATTGTTATGAGTGTATTAGGTGAATTATCTAAGTGTTGCTTGTATGCTTTAAGCTTCCGCCGTACGAATGCATGCGTTTAATTTATGTTGCAATTGTGTATTCCGCGTTCCGGGTGCTTGATGGATGAATTCGTCCCATTGAGCGCGAACTTCGTGTTTTGGGTGGTTGATGGAGGCCATCGCCCCATTGAGCCAGCATGCCTAGTTTGCATGAATTATATATTATGATGTTAGAAGACGGTTGCATGCACACTCTGTTAATTGCTAGGGCCCATTTCTATGATAAGTTTAGGGAATTACTGTTAGGAATGATATGTCGCTCGAGCCAGACTTAACTTTCCCCTAGGAACTTAGTGGATTACCACGACAACAAGGTACCTCAAGAGTGTTCATAGATTGCTAGTGTGAGAACGGTATCTATGGCTTCGTGGGAGGACCAAGGGTCCCTAATCAGTCCTTACTGCTTTTAGCCATTAGCTGCATGGGAACGCATTGGGTCGCGCCCCCCATAGGGAGACTATATCGGCTTAAGGGTATTTAGCACACCCCTAGGTTAGATACCATGTATTCCCAGATAGCCATATAAAGGTAGCACCTCATAGAGAGATACCGACCATATTAATTTGGCGTAAGGAACCTCTAGGTGTCTAATGAAAGGACGATGAACCGGTGAAACCCAAGGGGCAAGCTCCAAAGGACTAAGATTAGAACCAGATGTCCTAGAACCAAATTAGGAAACCGTGGGAACCTGTTAAGTTAGAATGCGAAGAGAGCCTACAAGTAGGTAGCTTACTAAGTATAATTTTTATACTCATCCTTGCTATGTTTTCCTTTTTCAGGAGCGCGAGACGTCGATCAAGGGCAGGCGTGATGGAGACGGGGATTGTCACAGAGGAATGGGTTGTCCCGAGGCGTCAATCTAGTCTTTATTTTGTATTTGCATGCTTTGGAAATTTATTTCCAAACTGTCAAGAGTTTTGTTTGTTTGTCGTTCGAAAATTTTATTGGAATTTAAGGATTTTTTTTTATATTTCATATTTAAATCACTTTAAACATTTATATGTTGTCCTTAGTCACGGTCCGTAGTAAAATATTGGGTCGTGACAAATTTGGTATCAGAGCAGTCAGGTTATAGGTCCTGTAGACATTTAGGATAGAGAGTCGTGTCCTCTGTGACCTCGCTCGTCAAACACATGCCGCTCACAACTAGACGTTCTCAAGTGATGGAAACATAGAGACAAAGGTTAAGCTAATATTTATAGAGTATATCATGACTGACTATGGCATTATAATCGCACATTACATAGGAGACGTGCTACGAATGAATTGTAACCATAGTCCTTTTTTCTGTTGTGGTAGATAATGGCACTAAAGAGACGCGTTTTAAAGCCTTGAGGGGAAGCCCGAAAGGGAAAGCCCAAAGAGGACAATATCTACTAGCGGTGGATCTGGGTCGTTACAATTATACATGCTGTTTCGAGCTGTTGACGAGTTGGGCTTTGAGAAGATTGCAAGGGCAACTGCTTCAAAAGAAGCGTGGGACACTTTAGAAAAGGTGTTCAAAGGAATCGACCTAGTCAAGCAGGTGCGTCTTCAGACTCTGCGTGGCAAGTTGGAGAGCATGAAGATGATGGAGTTAGAAAATGTATCTGGACTACATTACACGTGTACAGACCATGGCGAATCAGCTAAATCCAAACGGAGAAATGTTACCGGAGATACGGGCTGTAGAGAAAATCTTGAGGTTGTTAACAGATAACTTCGATAATGTTGTATGTGTCATAGAAGAGTCGAAGGATCTAGCGAAGTTCATAGCCGATGAGCTCGCTGGTTCTCTTGAGGCATACAAGCAACGTAAAAAAAAGGAGGAGACACTCGATCAAGCGCTTCAGACGAAGGCATCAATAAAGGATGAAAAAGTACTCTACACTCAAAATGTTCAAGGTAGAGATCGTGGAAGTCACGGGAATGGTCGAGGTGGCCAAGACAACAAAAATGAAGAAAATTATAAGGAGAAGAGACAGTCAAGTCAAGCAAATTGGCGTGGAAGAGGACGCAATCAAGGACGCGGTCAAGGATACAATTCCAACATCCAGTGTTACAAATGTCAGAAATATGGCCACTATACAAATGTCAGAAATGTAAATTGAACATGAGAAACAAATGGTTCAAATGCAAGCTGCAATCCCTTGAAATTCCCCTAAAAATCCTAAAACAATGACAAAGAAGAAGCTCATGCGATTAGTGAATGAGCCAAAGAAACTACCAGATCATGAGGAGGAGAATAGAGATTCAGAGCAACAACCCAAATCTACCGTGGATAAATATGTGGAGAAGTCTCAATTGCAGATGTTGAAATTGCTGAACGAGCACCTTTTGAAGGAGACACAGGAGAAGAGAAAGGAGTTTGGAGCTCTGGTTCAGGCTATAGAGGGTTTGGAGCTCGACTTGAAGAAGAATGCCGAGAAGAAACAGAGTCAAATGGATGAAGTGGGAGATAGGATTTGTAGGTTAGTTGAGAGTGAGAGATTGAAGAATGTGGAGATTGGGAGATTGAAAGATGAGAATAATGGGCTTGTGTTCAAAGTTGAGGAAGAAAGGGAGAAATGGATGAAGGTTTGTTGTGAGAGGGATGAAATTAAGGCTAATTCTGATGGATTTCTTGAGGAAATAGGATATTTGAGAAAGAAAATGATTGAAATGGAGAAAAATGAGAGAAGGGCTTTAAAAGAGACAGAGGATTTGAAGGTGAAATGCAAAGAAGTTGTCAGCTGAAAAGATGGAGAGTGAGATTATGAATCGAAATCTATTGAAAGAGAAGAATTATTTGTTAAGAGGTTATTGGATGAATCGGGTAGGGTTAATGAAGATTTGGAGAGAAAAGTCGATTCGAAAATGAAGAAGAAAGATGTAGAGATGTTAACTCAATAGAGAGATTCAGTTGATGTGAATCTGAATCGAGTCCAACAGGAGGCAGTGAGTTTACGACGCACGATTGAGATAATCACTCGTGATAAAGTTGAAATGGAGAAAGCAAAAATAGAAGTGGAAAATGTCGTTGTGGACTTGCGAAGGGAATTGAATAAATTGAACGAAGTCATGATGTCTGAGTCAAGCGTGGTTGAGAATGGGAGAAATGAAGAGTTGGTACCTTAGATGGGTTGTTCTCGAGAAGATCCAAATGAAGTCTCATCAAGAAGAACAACCCTATTTTGCCGCTCGAGGAAAAGGAGAAAAAATTGAAGAAACCACGACTGAGCTCGAAAAAACGAAAACGACCGCAGGTGTAACATTTAAGTTTATGGGGAGTTTGTTGGGAATAAATTTAAATGAGAGAGAAAAAAAGGGAAAGAAGTAGTTATGAATTTTGGTTTATAAATTCAGTCAAAAGCATTCTTATTTAGAAAGCAGTGGTTTATGGGTGAGAAAAGGTGGGATAGTTATGGCCAATTTTAGCTTTACGAAAACTTATAAATAGGCTTTACTTCTTTCTCACTGTAATAGCAGAGCAAAGAGGAGCAGAGCAAAAAAAAAAAAAGTAGCAGAGAAGAAAAAGAGTAAGAATTAAAGTACAGTGTAATAGAAAAAGGCTTTTGAGAATTCTTTGTCTCCTTGTCCCTCCCCTCTCGATACCCCCTCACAGTTTCGTGAGATTTATCTAAACGAGTTAGTTTTAGAGCGAGCGTCTATTTTTCTACAAGTTGGTATCAGAGCGGCTTTTAATTTCAACAAATTGGTATCAGAGGAAATTTTATTTCTACAGATTTCACAAATTTCTCTCCTCCTCGTGCATACATATATTATCACAATCTCAATCTAAACAGATACATAATCGTCCATATCTAGATTCTATTGACTTTCTTAAGCATTTCATTTCCATGGTTTTCATACTCATATGCTAGGTTCTGCTAGCTAAGTTTATCGGTATAGTAGCATGCATGCTTATTCCAAACGGTTCCTACAAGTACTGCTCGTGGAAATCCAAATGGTTACTTACATGGTTGACGCGTGCCTTTCCAAGCTCGAGTTTCTTATCAGAAAGGGTTCCAAAATTTCTGAAATTTCCTTGACAGGTCCTATTTTACATAATAATAGGTTTAGTATCAGAATCGGGATGAAAAACAAGCAAACGAAGGTTGAACAAAAGGAAAAATGATTACTCACCCGCCTACACGTGCGACTGACGAGCTCTGGAGGGTTGATATGCACGGCGATTTGGCAAGTCGCGGGTCGAGTCAGGTCGAAGAAGTCTCACGACAATTTGGTTTGCGTAGTTCCCAGGTCGCATGTGGAGCATCGGTTCGGACTCGGAATGACCCAAACCCACGCGCCTTATACCCCAGATCAAGCTTCAAACCCAGTCACAAATTAAATCAAATCAAATTATAAACTAAATCAAATCACAAACTAAATCTTTTAACAAGGGCAATAGAGATAGATGGCGACTAGATGGCTCCGGATTCTTTGATTTGAAGCTCGATCTGGGGTATGAGGGGCAATGGTTGGTTTAAGGAAGAGAGGAGCCAAACGAGGGAGGAAGGGCAAAGAGACGAAGAGGGATGTTTGAGACCTTCCCGTGTGCGCCAACAAAGGAACAATCAGAGATTTCAAGCGGTTTACTTGGGGGGGTTTTGATGCGATATCAAAGGAAGAAAGAATGGGCCGAAAGCTTGGAGAGGAAGAAATCGAGAGCGTTGGCCATGGTAATGTTTTGTGGGTTTCCAAAAACTTCTTCAACTCATATCTCTCTCGGCCATGGTAATGTTTTGTGAATCTACTCTAGTTGCACCTTAGAGTTGGTTGAGTCTTGACATGTATAAACTCTATTAGATTTATATCGAGGTCACACCTCGAGGACTTTGAGATATGATGATGATGATGAGAGACTAGAAGAAACGACTAACTAGGAGACCTAGAAAACTTAAGAATATTTCAATGGCTAGAGGTCCCGATAGGACCAAGAACCAAGAGAAAGTAGAATGAGAATACCTAGGGTGCAACCCTGGAAGATGCCTTTATGATGAACGAATACCCAAAAGAGAATAAGATACTGAATGTATGAACAAGATCCGTAAGACTTAATAACAAAACATGAACTACCAGTAAGCTACTTACTAAGTATATTTTATATACTTATCCCTGCTACTTCAACTTTCTTTTTAAGTGGAGCTTGATGTAGCCGTCAAGGCGGAGGCACATGTGGGTTGTTAGCTATAGAGAGTTCCACTTGTCTGAAGCTCCTTTGTACTTACCTTTAAATCCTGTGTTTTAAATAGTTTGATCTCGTAGCGGTGTATTTGAGTGGTTTCTTCTTGTTTCTTTGTAAAAGTAGAATTTTTTATTATTATTTTAATTAAATTTCAAAGTGCATGCACGTGTTTAAATGTTTTAAATTTTAAGTATTTGTTCTTATTTCCACGTCACTTAGTAACAATCTAAGACTTGAGTAGAATCAAAAATTAGAATTGGATTATGGGAATTGGCTTATAGTTTTGCATAGAATAATTTATACTTACTCCTAATAATTTAAACTAGTTAAACCTAATTTTGCATGAAATAATTTAAACTTACTTCTAATAATTTAAACTAGTTGAGCCTAATTATGCCTAAATACTTTAAACTTCACTCCAAAAATTTAAACTAGCTAAAAATAGTAGTACTAACCTTAAAAACTTTTGAAGAATTGAAACTAGGAGGAAAGAGTCAGAGCTTATTAGACTCAAATCAGATCAACCAAAATGATGATATTTTGAGCCATCAGAAAGTGTATTCTCTGACCGGCTCTAACCGTTCAAGTGGGATGCTAAAATCAAGTGAGGAACCTCCCTTTTAAAGTGGAGGCAAACCCCCACTTCTCAGCTTTATGCAATGTAGGACAATCCATTTTTTCTTTTTCTTTTTTATTTCAAAATTTTGGGTTATTACAATGAGATCCGTGGACCCAAATTCGGGTCAGATACCCACATGCAACTCGATACCAGTCTAGCCCAATTGACGATTTGGCCTAGCTACGTAAATTAAAAAGGGAGTCGAACAGTCCAGTCGTTCGCGGCCCAAGTCCTGACGTACACAGGAAGTCTAAACCGCACAATGACCCGACACGCACGCCCGAATGGAGCGATAACCCTTGCCTTCAATGTCACATGTGCACGACATGTGACGAGCTTCCAAATGCGGCTCCTCTTGGCTCGATTTCGCATCTTGGTTCGACTCGACTTGGCCACTTGGCGGCTTGACTTCTCGGCTTAGGCTGCTCGGTATCAAAAAAAATTATATACCATTTTATAAGTTTCCGACCCTTCTGAAGCAATTTTTTAGCGTATTTAAGACAATTAAGGTCAATATAAAATCTATTTTTTCAATTTAAGTTTCATTGAGCTAAGAAATTAGTATTAATAATAAAACGAGATGGACGTTCTAATAGGAAATAACTCCCAATGATACTTGGGCAACTTCAAGGGACAAAATACAAACGTACTCAAGTTTAAGGAGAACGTCGGTTAAGGTCAACCAAGTAAGTGACCTAACTATCAGTAGAGTTAGGAATTGATGTCTGTATGATGACACATTCCCGTGGTTCTCCACATGTTATATGCTTGATAAATGTTAAATGTTTAGGAAATGATATGACTAGGATATGTTTAGGAAACGATATGACTATGATATATTTATGATATGACTATGATATGTTTATGAAATGATATGAAAGGAGAAGTCCATGATATGATGCGACTATGAGATGATACGTAAATGTTATGACATGTGTTATTTGATATATTGATGATATGATAAATATTATGCAGTAACACGTTTGGCGATATAGTATATGATGTTACATGATATGTTGATGATATAAGACGTGTATGATATGACACGATGCATGATATGAATGATATAAGATAAGATGTATCGATATAATGCACAACCCTAATTTATGTATGGAAAACTATTATGAAAATGATATGATACGAAGGAAAATGGAGGGTGTTGTCTTACATGATAATGAATAAAAATGTTGGGACCTCATGCATCATTGTGTGTTCATGCATCGGAGAAATATCTCCATTTTATGATGATATGGACGCGTACACTACGAGGCAGGAAAATAAACATTATAGTTATTATAATGTTTCGACATTGATTTTTTTTTTCAATCCCATTCGGTTAATGAAAAAAATCTCTCTTCAATCCCTTTCGTATGTTTAAACGAAAATTTCACATGGGTTAAATTTAAATCTATGAAGTGTACCATGATTTTGATGGGTCAAATCAAAGATAAATCTGTTAAATGTAAAATAGGTCATATCTATGCATAGTAAGATAGTCTATTCATTTGTGGGCCTTGCATTTGGGTAACCGCAGTATTAATTTGGAGAATGGATATATTTGTGCCTACTAACTCTTTGGAGGCCTAAAATCTGGTGCCCACATCAGCTTCGGGATTGCTACCTCAATCCTCTGCATCGTTGTCGCACGAATCGGCATCGGTTGTTCTGCCCATGATTGGGGCCTCGGATCTTCC